TGTCCTCATGGATTCGAGGACAAGACTTTTAAGTTCTTTTGTTCATGTAATAGACTTAATAGACTTCTTTTGATTGTAAAGGGCCGTGTCCCTACTTATGTTTTGTGACTGTGTCTAAGGTGGCCATGTGAGACTTAGACTTCCGCTGTGTGTTTTTAAAGTTGTTTTAATGAAGTTTAAATGCATGGATGTAAATAAGTTTTTTTCTTATTCCGCACTATTTTCATTATTGAATGCAATGAATGACTATGTGGCTCATATAAGACCCCTTCGGGGTCGAATACGCCATGTTACGACTAGGGGGTACTCTCGAGTCGTGACAGTGTCATATCACATAATCTCCTTTTAGTATCATCCATATGAAGATACAAATCAACTCAATACCTTACTAAATCTCTCTTTTGAAAAGATTTAGCGATTATATATGAAACTACAGTTTCTCTTTCGAACAAACTACAACAATCAAATCCAATTTGAAAGTATTAAGTTATTTACCGACTACAATTAATCTCTTTCGATCATCAATCAAAGGTCTAAGCTAAGACTAAGTTTACAACCTTAGCCCATAAGTTAAACACATGCTAAATAGCTCAAATATATGAATAACTAGCAGAAAAATAGAGCTAAACACTAGACCCGCTAAATTAATTATCACCCAACTCTATAATCAGATTCCTAGAATTGGGGTTTTATCCAAACATCATAAAAGTAAAAGAAATTATATCAATTATGCTTTCAACCATTGAACTGTTGATAATCAACAATAATGTTCAACACCACTTTGAATTGAAACCTCAATTGTCCAATACAAAATTGTTCAAAACCCCAAAACTAAGAAGCTATGAAAAAGGTAAAGATATAAAAGATGAAGGATAAAAGATAGTAGATCCGATAGATGATCAATTTGTTTTATCTCTTTTGGGCTATTTATAATTTCTCCAAAAATTAGTCTAAAATCCCATGAGCAATCTGATCGGCGACGTTAGGCAGGATCACCTACTTGATCGGTGGATCTCCATCTTGTTCATCACCTCACCTTTTCTTGTCTTCAGGATTCATGTGTTTGAACCTCAGTTGGCGAACTCAAAGAGTTCTCCTTTCACGTTCGGTGAGTCGTCGATGACCACCGTTTTTCACCCATTGTAGCCTATAGTTTGGTCCAGCCTTCTTTCACTTTAGGTGATGGGATTTTGAATTTGCCCAACCACTTCCGTGAATCACCATTTGTTCTTTAAATCTCTTACCTACGTTTAATATTTTCAGAAGCGAACAATATCACTTTAGGCGAGGTCCGGTCAAGTTGGGTGATTCACCAACTATTTTAGGCAATCCTCAGTTGGGAATTTTCATTCGTTTCAACATTTTGGCCTCTTTTTGCATAGATTCCTCCTCGCCTTATCCTTTAGCCTTCATAGCTATAAAAGATCAAAAATATAATCAGATAAGGACATAAGTAGGCATTGATAATGCTATTTGATGAACTGAAAGGCCTCAAATAAGTCAAAATCATAGACGCATCAACTTGGAGCTGGGCACCAATCCCATCTCTATTTATCCTTATTGCATGGTTCTATATGAGTTGAAAAATTTGAAGGATTAGTCATAGGAGTTGTTGAGTTAGGGGTTCATTCACCCTAGTGTGTCTCCATGGGGTGCCCTTGTTATGTTCGTGAAGAAGAAATATTGAACCATGAGTATGTGTATAGATTATCGACAATTAAACAAAGTGACAATGAAGAACAGTTATCCTCTTTTTCATATTTATGACCTATTCGATTTGCTTCAGGGAGATTCTTTATTTCTAAGACTGATTTTAGGTCCGGCTATCATCAGCTAATGATTAGGACATCAAATATTCCTAAGACAACTTTTAGAACTTGATATGGGAATTATAAAATTCTTGGATGTCCTTTGGTTTGACTAACACCCCTGCAACATTCATGGAGTTAAACAATGGGTGGTTTTGATAATATATCGATTCGTTTGTGATGATATTTATTGATGACATCTTGGTGTACTTCAAGACTTAGAAGGACCATGACCAACATCTTTGAATGGTGCTCCATAGATTGAGGGAAGAGAAATTGTATGCCAAGTTCTCAAAGTGCTAGATTCTATTGCATTTCTAGGCATTTTGTGTCCAACGAGGCTATTTGGGTGGATCCAGCCAAGATTGAGGAATTTAGAGGTTGGATCAAACCTACTTCAGTTACCATGATTTAGAGTTTTCTAGGGATAGCAGCTTAATACAAGGAGTTTGTTCTGAGATTCTCCACTATTGCATCTCTTTTGACCAGTTTGACTCCACATAGTGTAATTTTCGAGTGGTTTAATGTGTGTGAGGAAAAATTTCAAAAGCTCAAGACCTTATTAACTTCGGCTCCTATTTTGAATTTACCCGAAGAGGCTGTGGACTTCACCATTTATTATGATGCTTCTGGAGTTAGGTTATGTGGTGCAAGAACTACTCTACTCATGACTTGGAGCTGTCGATTGTAGTTTTTATGTTTAAGCTATGGCATCATTACTTGTATGCGGTATATTTTGAGGTATTCACTGACCATCGAAGTCTTGATTTCATTTTCAGTCAGAGGGATTTGACTTGAGGCAACACAGATGGCTTGAGCTACTAAAGGACTATGATATCAACATCTTGTATCATTAGGGAATGGCCAATGTACTGGCCAATGACTTGATTAGGAAGTCTTCTAGTATGGGGAGTCTTGCTACTATCAGTGTTGGTGAGATACTGTTTGCTAGATATGTTCATAGATTAGCCAACAATCGTATTCAATTGAAGATTTCTGAGGAGAGTGATGGTTTGATTGCTTTCGTGGAGGCTCGGTTTTCCTTAGTTGAGTAGATCTGTGAGCACTAGTTCAATAATGAGAAGTTGTGTCTCATTTGAGACAAAGTGATGAGAGGAGAAGCAAAATAGGTTGTCCTTTATTTTGATGGTGTCTTGAGGACCGGAGGTAGGATATGTGTGCCCAAGTGGGTAAATTTATTAGACTGATTCTTGAGGAGGCCCATTTTTCTTGATATTCCATTCATTCGGGAGCGACAAATATGCATCATGATCTTAGTACGCATTACTAATGGTGTGGTATGAAGAGGTATGATGTAGATTTTATTTCTAGATGCTTGACTTGCCAACAGGTCAAGTGTGAGCACCAACGGCTCGAAGGTGTATCTCAGAAGATGCCTATTCCTACTTGGAAGTGAGAGTGGATTGATTAACGTTTCAAAAACACTTTATCCAATTCTAAGTGCAAACGATCGTTAGTCAGTATAAAACCCAACAATTGAGTTGGGGTTGAATCCCACAGGGAGCGGTACATGTTGAAATTCAATTAGGAAGTACAAATATGGTCTTATCAGCCATAGGAATAGAAATAATAAAAAAAGACATGAATCAAATTAAAAGGGGTGACACGAATGTCAGATAGGGGTTTTTGGTTTGGAATTATCAACTACAAAGCAGTCAAAAACACTTTGAAATAACAATAAGGAGAGGGATTCTCAGGATATGATCGATTATAGGCAAATTTAGATATATGTGTAATTGAAACTACAGGTAAACAACTAAAAATCAGTGAGTAGGCTAGACTAAAAGGGGGATAGCTTTATCTCAAACAACTATCCAGAATCAGGTGATTTCTTTTGAATATCAACAAACATAATAATGAAGAACAACCGATACCTTAATTCACCCACTATTTCTAGCTAGATGGGTAGGATTGAATTTAGGATTAACTCTTTCGAGCTGAACCCAGCTCAACCTAATACCTACAAATCATTAATCAATAATCTTAGTTCTAAAACGTCTCTCTCGAGCAAGCCAAGAACACAAAAGTAAAACAACATTTTGCAAGTACAATTCATAAATTGAACCACAATTAATGATTAAACTCACTGTAATTTAGCATTTAAACTAGTAATTAACAATACCCACTAACTAATTCAACCCAGAATCACATGATCACACCCCAAGAATTGGGGTTTTATCCAAGCATCATAAAAGAGTAAAAACGATTACTAAATCGATTATCCATCAACTGGGTAAGAGTAATTTAGCCTTTACAATGCGTCAATTTGCAGAAAATTCGATACCCACTAGCAAAATCTCCAAAATTCTTCAAGTCTTATTAGAAACTCTCAAAAACTCAAGAGAAAAGTATTCTAAACTAATTTTGCATTCACTAGCCTCAATCAAATATGTCCAACATGCTAAAATAATTGTTCAAAATCTAATTTATGGTCGCCAAAAATAAACCACAAAGGGCTGTTTGGCGAAGTAAGTCAGGCTCGCCGAACCACTGGGTGTCCCGCCCATTGATCTCTTCCATCGCCTTTTTGCCTTGGCACTGGGCATCCTCAAGTTCTGTAACTTTGCGCGATCTCTCTTTGCATTGCAAAACTGCTCGGTGAATCGCCGACTGCTCCATTTTGTCGCCGACTTGGTTTCTTCCCTCAAGGCTTGGTACACTAGGACTTTAGGCTGTCAAAGTAGCCACTCGGCAACACGCCAAGTGCTATTGGCGATTCTCAGGCTCGCCCTTCTTCACTTTTTCAGTTTGTTTTATTCCTTTTTGCCTATTACTATCCTTGCTTTGCTCCTCAATCCATATATCTGATAATCAAGGCTTTAACATCAGTTTTTGGCACAAATTAAGCATTTGAGGACACTAAATCTATATAAACAAATCCCCAAATGAGTCCAAATCTCGAACTCATCAACACCCCCAACTTAAACTTTTGTTTGTCCTCAAGTAAAACTCAAGATCAGTAGTTCAAAAAGGATGCCTCAAATAGTTCTACATAAGACTCAACATGAATGTACACAATAAGATTCAACTTACTCATGCAATGATCAATTTGTGCACTCAAAAATTCAAACTTTCACTCACCATTATCAAAGATGCTCAAGTTCACAATACTTACGTCAAATGCAAGTTCAAGCTCAACAATGTACTAAAATTCCCTCACAACAAAAATGATTCCCTATTCAAAAAAAGTTCTTCAAGAATTTATAGTTCTGGAATCACATACGACTTTCACACTCACAAAGATGAACACATGCATGACTTCACCCATAGGTTTTCCCTTATTTTCCAATCATCATTCATTTCAGCTCACTCAAGATCACAAAGGTCTTTTCAAGGCTTGTAACCGGGCCGAGTGTAAATGTATGGTCATTTAGGCTCAATGGATGCTACCCTCATGAAGTGTGGTATCAACATCACTTTCTTAATTTTTTTAACACTAAAATTCACCCCATTTCAACTTCAAATGGACTACTAGATACCCCATTTCTTTTGCAACTTCCACTACATTATTCCACAACTTTTTCATTCTTTTTCTTTTGCTTTCATCTTTTCTTCTTTTTTTTTTACATGGAGGGGTTTTATCTTTTTCAAAACCATTGTTCAAAGGGGGAATTTCTCACACTTCTTGATTTCCCTTCTCTTTTCACCACACCCCCAACTTAGGCTTTTGGACTAAGTTGGCTATTCAAACAAACCACAATTAATGAGAATTATGGGTGAATGGATAAAGAGAGGTAACAATTGTTCAAGTTTCTTCCAAGAAAATGATAAGGGTCAAGAGGGTTCAAGCAAGGTTCACACATCTCACAAGGTTGGCCACAAAAGAGGTATATTGTCAAATTGTTTCACTCTTCAAAATTGTTGCCTAAGATCATTTCAAGTGCTTGCATCACTTAGTCAACAGGACCAACGGGGTAAATTCTAGGTGTCATCACACACAATTTTCAAGGTAATCTCATCACACACAACATTGGCACCAGTATCAAACAAGACTCCACATTGTCTAACTAGTATGCAATGTTCATCACAAGAGATCCATTCGATAATCGGCTAGTCACAACGAGATGCTAAAATTTCACACATTGGCTATACAACTTCATTTGGCCTCATCGTAGTCACACATTCATTTCCTTCAATTAAGAGCACTATTCAAGTCATCAGTATTGATCATAATCGATACTCAAATTTGCACAAGAATAGCCACAATCACAAACAATAGAGGTGGCACAAATTTTAAAAATAAGTCAAAATCATTTCCAATCAAAAGAAGAAGCCACAAGCTCAACCATTCACAAGATCAAAATCCAAACACAAATATAGATCACAAAACCCAATATATACAAATAAAATGTAATCATAAGAGGTAGGTATAGAAATACGTCACCCCACCCACAAAAGAGAAGCAGTTGTCCTCAAATACAATTAAAACAAAAATCATCAACAAAACAACAGAGAGGGAGGGAAAAGAATGATCCTGTCTACTCAGTCGCTCTGTCTGTCGGGGCATCAATGTCTGGTGCAACATAAACACTAGCTCCACTGGAGCCTGCCATGGAAGTCTCCCTCAAAGATGCCTGTCGGGCTATCTCAAACATGGCACCCTCTAAGTCGGCCAAATCCTCAAATACAGCCACATCTCACTCCCCAAGATGCTCCCCATAGGTCTCAGCCTCAGACTCAACAGCAACAACATCCTCCATAATATCATCTCCAGTGGTAGTCGGATGTACCTCAGCACAAGCTGGAATCTCAGCACTCGGATCATAAGGGACCTCTGCTAACTCAAACATTGATATGAAGTCTGTGGACTTCAGATGGTCCACGTCCTTTATCAATACGAAAACCTCAACTTTTAAAGCCGTAACCTCAATGGTAACCCCCGGTCCTCTCTCATAAATCTCTACTCTCACGGTGAGAGATTTAATGGAAGTCCAGAGAGGTGTGAATGATGCTGAAATTGCTCGCTCAATCATCCAGGGCACGTCTGCCTCTATCCAGGAAGTGCGTACATCGGTAGAATGGGATAGGTGCCCCATCTTGAAGAGCATGGTTTGAGTGATAGGATTCCTTGATGCAGTGGTACATGAAGTAGCTCTGGGAGGCAGTAGAAGAACCTGTTGCCTGGGAAGGAGTGGAAGTAGATGTACCTGAAGGCCCAGAGGCTGGAGTAGGAAAAGTTGCCTTTGCATGTATATAATTAACATGAACCGATGGGAATGTGTCCACCGAAGCTGCTCTCCTCCTATCCTTCACTTCCCCTGTGTACTCGGCCTCTATGAACCGGATGTTGGTGGAGGATGTGGGTGTAACCTCAACATCCCTCTTCTCATCAAGAGGAACTCCAGCCCGTTGACATAACTTTGTAATAAGCACTTGGAATGAAAGGGATGTTTGGAACTGTTTGGCCCTCATGGCCATCTCCTGCTCTTATAATCAGCCCCAAGTTCAACCTCTTCCCGGCTGTGATCGATCCGAGGAAGGCCTCCTTTGGGTGGCGGATGATGGACTCATTTTGTGATGGCAAGATCGATCTACTGATGAAACCGAACTAATATCGAGCTGATATGTTCAAGTCCTTCTTCTCAATAGGGGCTCTGCCCGTAATCCACCTTGGGGTGGTGTCAGAAATGAGGGGAGCTAGCCATCCCCTGAGGTCATCCAGAGTCTGTGTCTTGATCATGCTCTGGTAGTCATGCTCAAAACTTGTTGCCCTGTCAAGTACAACATTGATATCATCGCTGCTGCATCTCACTGTCTTCCCCCGTACCATCACGGACTCCACCGATCTGAAGGGACTGGCCTTCTTCTTCCCTTGGGGTACCAAATCACTATATACAGAGTAGAATTCCTGGAACCATGTGGGAATATATAGGCAACAAGGCCTGGTGAAGATATGAAACCTGTGGAACCGGAGTGAGTCCCACACAATAGGGTACTTGTCCACTACTCCATCCGTGGACAATCCTTTTTCCTCTAGGATGGTCTTTAATCCCTCTTCCTTTAACTGGTTGAGTAGCCTGGGAGGAAGACCCTG